CGGCGCCCAAACTGCGGGCCCTCCGTGTGTGCGTGTGTGTCTCTGTGTTTGTTTTTCGCCTTATCCTCTTTTTCTTTCTTTATTTCTTTCTGCCCATCGCTAGACTCTCTGTGCGTGTGTGCGTGTGTGCTGCGGTGGGAGGAGTGTGGCGATGGCTGGCCGTGCGCTGTTGGTGTGTGCCCTCTGCGCGCTGTGCTGCGCCGCCGGCGGGGGCTGGGCGGCGGAGGGGAACTACTGCACGAAGCGCGACTGGAGGGACTTGCGGGCCGTCGCGAAGGACATGAGCGACGCGGAAATTGCGGCGAAGTACTGCGGCCGCAAGCCGGAGTTGGTGCGGGGGCTGCGGGCGAGTCTGCAGAGCGGTGGCGAGGCGGAGGCGGGGGGTGCGTCTGGCCCCGGCGGCGGCACCGCACAACCCGCCGAGGCAAAAGTAACAGGGGAAGATAATCCGCGGGCGGAGACGCACAGCGCCGAGGTTCTGGGAGAGGGAAAAACAACTGGACAGCCAAGGGGGCCCGGAGGACTGGGCGGGTCACCGTCACGAGAAAAAGAGCTGTCGCCATCGCCATTGCCATCGGGCGAAACGGAAGAGCACTCACCGTCGGGTGCTTCTACTGGCGGAAAGGCCGCCGAAGGGCAACTTGGGACTTCGCCGGACGGGCCAAGCGACGTTGCGACTCCTCCGGGGCAAATAAATACACAGAAAAACCTGCAGGAGCCAACACCGGCACTGCCTTCGACAGGGCCCGAGGACCAAAAAAGGGAACACGAGGGAAAAGACGAAACAAACTTGCACACGCCTGAAGGAGGTCCACCAAAGAGAGCCGACGCCTCAGCAAAAGAAGACGTGGACGACACGCACATAACGGAGAACACACCAGGTGGAAATGACCAAGAAGCAAAGCGAAATCGCTCCGTCTCAATCTCGCGATGGTGGTGCAGTGACATCGCTACAATCATCCGACAGCTCCGCCGGCACTTCGACAGACGGCAGAGAAGAAGCACCGACGGAAGGACAACCAGAGGGATCCTCGACACTAACAAAGCCGCCAACACCAACGTCAACTGAAGTGCCAGGGGAAACAGGGAAGGAAACGACATTGGGGAAGCCTCCTTCGAAGGAAAAAGATGTCGTTGAAGGCTGAAGTGAGTTTACCAGCAATAAAAAAAAAGAAAGAAAGCAAGCATCTTCTCCAGCACGCAGCCATCATGTGTGTTCGGATGCGGAGTGGATGACCGGCATCAGGGCACTGGCGTCTTGGGTGCGGCGTGACGGCCCAGCGGCGGC